TCTTCGCCTACTGGCGGTGCACACGCAAACTCTTCTTCTGCTTATAACACAAGCCTTCACCCGCAGGTGGAAAACATCTTCATCTGCTTTGGCACTGAAGACAAAAGCCTTCGCCTGACAGCGGAAAAACTCTCTTCATGTCCTGACCACCATCCTCTGCTGCTCGCCTATATACGTTAGCTCTGAGTTCTGGAAATGTCATTGGCACGCCGCACAGCCAAGGCTGGGAAAGGGACGAGACTTTTCTCGTACTCTCCTCAAAGCATGACGCAACCAGGGAGTAACTCAAGCTTTTCTTCTCGATGATTCTGGTGGCTTGTCGATGGATACTAGGAGGTTGGTCAGGGTAGCGGCACCTTCAAGGGGGAGAGAAGGCGCATGGGGCATTTTTATGCTTGTTTTCTTCTTTCCGCCGGCTTCTATCACCTGTCTGGTGCCTCGATTTCGCGTAGCGGTTAGAATTCGGATGTGCGCGCTTTAGTTGAGCGCTCAGTTTGTAGCACGCTGCAAAATGGCCATCAATAGACAGATAGCAGGGGCCCTGCTGCAGTCGTCGTAGTGGCTAAGGTACTCGGCTGCTAACCCGTAGGTCGCAGTATTGAATCCCAGCTGCAGGCGGCTGTGTTTTAGATAGAGGCGGAAATGCTGTAGGCCCGTGTGCTCGGATTTGGGTGCAACCTAAAGAACCCCAGGCAGTCGAAATATGCGGAGCCCTCCACTATGGCATTTCTCATTATCATATGGTGGTCTTGAGACATTAAACCCCATATATCAACAGCTAGCAGCGCTAAGTCAATGTGCAGCCCACAGCTGACACAAAGCGATGCCTTTTGCGCTTTTTAGTTACAGAACCAAGGTGCAATGAAACCTCAATAATTCAAGCTTGGGTATTTCGAAATTCTCCTCAGTATGAATTTTCGCGGCACTTGGGTGCTCCATCACATGACTGAACAATAGGAGAGATTACCGAAGCATTCTTCGTTCACGAGACAGGCGACGCATGTTGCGAGGCTATCGTGTCATGGCATAGTTTCGAGCTTGTATATCTGGCCAGGAGCGCAAAGGTCACGATTTGTTTGTTTGAAATAGTGCTTATATATGTTTTCATTTTCTGTTTTAATAAACGCACTTGTTGGATTGGTGCTTTGTCATCCACTCTTTCTCGCCCTTCGTTTTTTTGCACCTTAAATTTCCTGTAAGGACTTACAACTTGACCTGTATTCAGTTCAAGTCGCTATTCCCAGTTTCGATTTTGCCACAAACCAGCAAGAGGGAACGAAAAGAAATAGAGGGGGGGGGGGGGGGGGCATGGTCTTTGGAGCGATAAGGCAGGGCCACATAGCGATGTTGAAGAGTGACAGGTAAGGCACATCAATATCATTGCTGCCAGCGTAGAGAAAAGGAAAAAAAAAATTGGCAGCATATCCACGGAGTGAATGATGGAGAGTGGGGCGAAGCATTCGTCCGTCCATTTGTTCTTGCTTCTGTCTGTCCATGCGTCCATCTGTGTGACCGTCCATGCGTCCATCCGCCCATCCGTGCGTGCGTCTGTTCGTGCGTTCGTCCCTGCGTTCGTCCATGCATCCGCCCCTGCGTCCGTTCATGCGTCCATCCATGCATCTGTCTATGTCCGTTAGTCCATCTATTCAACTCTCCAAGTACCACCATCTCGCATCTTTTCATCATATATTCCCCATATAGAAGCATCGTCCATCCAGCAGACATTTCAAGGACTAAACGAGAGGTGGCACACGCACACTTTCTTACGACTTGCGCTTCGGGTCTACTTCCCACCTTTAACCACCTCGAGTTCATGGTATATACTAGTTCACTGTATTCATGGCACTGTGGCCCAACGCTCGCTAAACTTTCTAAAACTAAAGAGGTTAGGCCCAGCGAGTATAACGTAGCAACCTTTTTCTGTCAGATAGTGCTCAATGTACATGCCAATGGCTGCTAATGGGAAATGAGAGACAGAAGAATTCGGCTTTTACTTTCTTACGACTTGCGCTTCATATCTACTTCCCACCTTTAACCACCTCGAGTTCATTCATGGTATATACTAGTTCATTGTATTCATGGCACTGCGGCCAACGCTTGCTAAACCTGTCTAAAACTAAGGAGGTTACACCTAGCGAGTATAACGTAGCAACCCTTTCTTGTCAGAGAGTGCTCAATGTACATGCCAATGGCTGCTAATGGGGATCGCAGCATGCACATTAACTAAAAGCCGAATGCTCCTGTCTCTCATTCCTCATTAGCAGCCATTAGCATGTGCATTGAGCACTATTTTTTATTGTTCAACAACGCACAGAAGAAATCTCTCACCGGCACCACCTTGGGGGTCAAAATGTTATACTTGTTACACACTACAATAGCTACGAGGGACGAATGGGTGCCGCTATAAAGAGCTTCGCCCCTAAAAAACAAAACAGTCAGTCCTTGGTCTCATAGTTCGCTGAAATGCGCGCTTGTCATGAAGGAAACATGCTTCACCGCAACTCAGAAGCGTGTCATGTGCTCCTCATAATGCCGTGCAACCTTTCGATAATTTATTGTGGGAAATGAATAAAGAAAGAGTAATGAAGGACAGTCTGATGAAGTTCGCTTTGAGTTTTGGCTGGAAAACGTAACCCTTATATTGCTGCTTTTTTCTAAATATTGTTGCAGACAAGCGCTTCTTTGGTAGTGTCATTTCACACGTTAGTGGAGGAACACGTAATTAGTGGTCTACTAAGTCTAGAGACCATACTGTTCTTGACCTATGTGCGTATTTGCATATCTCTTCAATCCCGAATGTAAAAATGGAAAGGTAGCTCGGTTTAGCATTTCCTGCGGACAGTCAGTGGTAGGGATCCGATGCAGGTAGGATGACATTCTTATGAAGGAACTTTTTGATTTTTCTTTCGAAAAATTGCCTATCTTGTAGCGAATCTAAGATGTTCTTATTTTACTGATGAGGTTCAGTTAGGTTCTTGGCCTGATGCCAATGGCATGACTGTAGTTATGGGAGCAGTCGTAGCTGTCCTACAAGCCACTGGACTTGACGCACCAATTTGACGGTGCTATATTCTGACCTTTTTAACTTACCATAAACCATAACCATTCGTTACTCTCTTCCCTGTCCTCCTTCCCCAGTGTGTATTAGTTGGTCTAAGTAAACTATATTTCAGGCCCACCTCTCTGCCCTTCTGTAAATGCATTATCTCTCTCTCTTTCTTTGTACAGCACAGTATTGGGCAGCTAAACCAGTGTGATACTGAGCACCAGTGAAATGACCAGTGTCATCTTGGTACGAAGAGCTGGCTGCCTGGGCTAGCGGGTGGAACACACACAATAGTGCATACGCAATGGGCAGCACTGCTGCTGACCAGTGACAGTGTCTCTGCTCTTAAAGCTTGCCAGTGGGGCTCCTTTGGTAAAGATAAGGGTTCTCAAAATAATATCGTGGGGTACGAAGGCCTAAAACCATGATATGATTGTGAAGCCCACCGCAGTGGAGGGCTCTGACAATTTCAACCTGCACTGAGATTGCACAGTATACGAGCCTCTTGCATTTTGCCTCCATCGAAATGCACTCGCCACATCTGGGATGAAACCCGACACTTTTGGGTCGGCAACCGAGCACCGTAGCTGCCTCATTGCTGCGGTGGACAGGGGTTCTGGCTGCGAAAGTGCTGTGGTAAACGCACATGCTTTACATTAGTTTTGTGTAGCAGCTCTCGCACAGGAACGACAGCCCAGTCATATGTTCACGCATAGGGACTCTAGTACCTAATCTGCCTTTTTCAAGGTGCCACGGTGCATGCGTCCTTCCCTGGTGCAAAACTCTCGGGAATGACTCCTTGTCTCAGAGGCCTTCGTTCTAGCAATGCCAGTTCTCCTGGCTCCTACCAAACCTACTTAAACGCCAGAGGACAGCGCGGGAAAATGGAAAAGGCGGATTGCTTAACTGCACGTGTCAACCTTTCTGAAATACTTCACTGGCCACTGCGCATTGGGAAAACCCTGAAACTGGGAGTGCCATTGGTGTAGCTCCTACATTCTTCAGCTACTCACGGCATCTATGCTGGAGTGCTAGCTCCTGCAGCTGCAATTTCCTTGCGTGCACCCTAGACAGAAACCATGCACTCTTTGTACTGTGCCTTTAGCTCATAATGATGTCTTTTGTGCTGAGGCTTTGATACATTTTCCTCTGTGCAGACTGCCCGGAATAGTTTCAGTGGTTTTTTACGGCCCACTGACAAGTAGAATATGTCTTTTCATTTGTTACCAGATTGACTCAAGTGCTGTGCCTGAAGCATATATACTTTTTCACCTTGTTTTAAACATGCACGCTGCTAGAGTTGGCTGGGTGCCGTCACTCGTGAACTTTTCAGTCGTGCCTGTTTGGGACGTCATTTGTGCTACCTGTGTGATAGGTTTTTCGGTGTTTCTACCCGAGGAGAAAATTCGAGCAGCCAGTGATATGCGATGGTGCAGAGACCAACCAGGCAAACATGGCATGTTTTACATCACGTGCAAGACTTTTGATAAGTGTTGCGGAAGGCAGAGCATAGACTTGACCACATAGTGAAAAAGTTAGCAAAACATAGAGCCTTGGAGGACAGCGACCTTCACTTGCACCTAGCTTCCTCAGTAAGGGGTGTTTCACTGGAAATGGGAGTGCAAATAAGTCAGCGCTCGTTAAACAGCACCTAATAGGACCAGGAAAGAATGTTCTGTGTAACGAAAGAGAAAGAAGGAGGGGGGCACAGTTTAAATATAATATGAGTCATGTCAGAGGCAGTTCTACCTGAGCAGCAATGCCATTAAAGAAATTTTTCATTTACTGAGAATCTTCCATGTTTATGTTATAGTATTTGAGTGACTGCTTGCATAATTTAAAAAATAAGTTTTTGGGTCTCCTTATGTCGTCCGTAGGTAATTGAAGGATTGAAAATGTGACAGCGCTGTGGAGACTTAGTTGTTGAAACTTTCCCTATGTGTTTCTATTGTAGCGGCTGCTGCAGCTAGTCGTTCCTGGTCTGGCCAGCCGGGTATGGGCTCTGTACCGGAGGCGGAGGCAGCTGACCACCATTCACGGGCATTTGTGGCAGCCGAGCGTCGCAGGGGTGGTGGCATCGAGGATGACACCTCCCGTAGCCAACAGTGGGACTTGGTGTACTGCCTGTGGCTTGTCGGTGAGCTAGCACACACTAAGGAGTCCAAGCACAGCATGGGTGATGTATTTTTTCATGGCACTAGGGTCATTTTTTGATCAAAAAGAGCCAGGATATGGTGATGCAGCTTGGGTCAGCAATCTGCAGTATTTGATGCCTCATGAAAACACTTTCATATGTCTTCATATACAACGTTCTTTGTGATTATAGAGATCATTTTTCTTGTTCAGGTGTACCAAAAAAATCATTCAGCGAATTTCACTTTTAGCAGAGCTGGCTATAGTACGTAGTCGGTGTAGAAAGATTTTGTCAAAATGTGCTACGGGGCATAAATGTGATGTACATTTGCTGACCATTTATTTGGATACTAGAAATTCGGACATGCTCTTCGAATTGTACATCAAGGTGCTGCCACTCATCCCACTGATGTGCTGTATAACCATGATTGACAATATTTTGCAAGCTCAACAGCATGCCATCAGATTTTTCAGACTGCGGCATCCAAATGAAGTGTGACATCAAACGCCATGACAAGCCGACTGAGCAATGCTTACATACTGCTAAGTTGCCAGCACCAAAAAGGTGCAGTGGCGGTGACTGGGCAGCTGGTGGCAAAATTCAGTGGTGGCCTCCTATACGCTAATATTTTTAATTTATATCGGAGGCTATGCTTTTGCTGGCTGTGCATATTGGTTCCTAGTGTCTGGATTGAGACAGTTGTCAGTCGAGTATGCATTGGCTGTCCACCATGGCCAAACCACAGTCCACACCAAGCTACTGCTCTTGAAAATGTAATCTTAGCATTGTCATTTGTGTCTTGAGGTTAGCCTGCTGTGTTATACTTCAATACCATTGTCATAGTGTATGTCGCTTGGTGTGCTAGAAAGGCTCTGCGGCTGCTTTATCTCATCCAGTCGTCACACACTTGTACAAGATGGCTCCGATGTTTCTGCCATTGAGACCAACGAAACATGTGCCAATCTTTTTATGCTCTCTTAACAGGGAAGAACGTAGCTCTTATTGGTCAGGCAGGAAGTTAGCCTGCTTCGACAGTATCTACACACTGAAATTCTTTGTTAGAGAATATTAGAGAGTGTTCAAATCATATGGATAGGTGCTCACGCCTGTGTGCGAGAACGCGTGTGTGTGATGCAGCGCAAGGTGCATCAGAGCTTTGCAGTCCCATGTCGTGCTTCTGAGGCAGTGATCTCAGTCTCCAACTCGGGGCCCAGAAACTCAGGCCGAAAGTCATTCACATAAATAATGCGATATTGAATCATTTACTGAGAGCATTCAAATAGCACTTCTTGGAGCAATAAGAAATGTTTGAAACAAAGAACGCACTTGCCGCAAGTGTGATGTTTCAACTCCTTTAAGGGGGGACACGGGTCTGAAGGCCAAAAATCGCAACAAAGTCGACTTTTTGAAGTTGACATTTTCGGAATCTGTACCTATTTTTGCACCTATCTGAGAGCTTTTTCGCGTCATTGTTTCTGGTGCAAAATCAATTCATAACATCCTTGTGAGATGAATATGAGCGCAAATGGACGCTAAAATCGCGCTTTTTCCGCACCGAACTGTTGCCGTTACACATGAGCTATCGTGTTCATCTTGGTCTCGTTTGGAAGGGTCGTTCGTCACCTTCAATTTACAGCCACCGCTGGCTCACCTTGCTCATTGGTTTTTAAGCAAAAACGCGTCATCGAGAAGCACTATCACGCGATTCTATTGCCTGCTTGGGGCACGTGACAAAACCTAGGCATCCGATCGGCCAAGTGGTGTTTCCGGCGTCTGCTTCACGATCGTGATGCGCACGGACATGCGCCATTTTGTCATGGTGCTGCTGTCTGCATGCGGCAGTAAAGAAGTTCCGTGCTACAGTAATTTGTGAAGCGGGTGTGGTGATCGTTCGTTCGCCGTGAACTTCAGAAAGAGCCCCGTTATGGCTCAGGACAACAAGGATAACCAACTCGCAGCAGTCGACGGTGGTCGCCGGAATCACCGGTGTAGGCCTAACTCACGTGTGAGCCCTTTGGTTGCTGACAACGTTACTGAGAGTGGCTGTTTTTGCAGCCTCATCAATTAGAGGACGGCAAGTGAAAAGCAGAAGTGAAGCTACAAGAGATATCAATATTTGTAGTGACGGAATAGAAGCGCAGTCTTATCGCTAAACGCACCGAAGCTGCATTTGCCCCTCCCAGCCTGACGAAAGGGCATTGAACAGTGTGACGGGTCGTCAGAGTGGAGTACGCCGTGCGTCAGCGAACAACAGAAAGTCAATCCGTTCGCGGTGAGCGTGCTCGCCGCCCGCGCAATGGAGGCTATTGGCAACAGGCAGGCTGCTTTCAACGACGCGTTTTCAACGTTGTCGCAGTCTCCGCTAGAAAATGCGACAGTCTTTCGTGAAAAGGAAACTTAACACCTCGGCACTCGTGTAGCCTCGAGATTTATGAGCGAGGGAGCAAGTTTAATTCGCGACATTTACGGTTAACTCATTCCGAACAAGCCGGAAAACATCGCCGTGTTATTTGACGGATCGCAGATGACGCGTGCACATTCGTTGCAAATCGCCATCAGTACAGTCACCGAACTGATAAGCGGCCTTGCGGCAGATGAGCACACGGCAACAACTTGCTACAGGACTTGAAGAAACGACACGCTCGTGCAAACAAGCCTATTACATTCCCGGTGCATATTAACCGACTAAAAGTATGTGTGCCACAATATTTTTACTCGAAACGGCGAAATGAAGTTTTAGCAGCATTTTTTTCGAAGCACAGATTTTGACCACTTTCTTTTGCTTGTTTGGTAAAAGTGGACCTAGGACAGCTAGAGCTATAACTGTTTTTGCACAGTGTAGCTAAATGTGCACAAAAAACAATGATGAGAGCGGATTTTTAATGGGCAGCTTCATATTTTTTCTTTTAATATAAAAATTTTTATTTTTGGTTACATGCAATGAACTTTCGTGCTGTAATTCAAAAAGTACTCGTTCAATGTTCGCTCAGCTTGCAGTGTTGCACTCCTTAGGCTTTCTAGTATCCATATATATGTTAATGACTATGTAATTTTAAGTACATACATTTTTACGGCTAAAAATGTTAGAATTCTTTGTTTTCTTGATTTTCTCGAAATGGCAATTTTGTACACCGTGTATGATAATTCCTGCAATATATCTGAAACTATTACAGATAGCAGAATAATTTTTTTTTTGCAGCATGAAGCTATATGTTTGGAGCACACAACATAGGAAGCAAATTTTGGTTTTTCTTGATGCAGGTTCTTTAAATTATTCTTTTGTGTGACCACACAGTGGCCACATTCAGAGCTATGAAGTTTAGTGTCATCATCATCATCAGCCTGACTATGTCCACTGCAGGACAAAAACCTCTCCCATATTCCGCCAGTTAACTCAGTCCTGTGCTTGCTGCTGCCAATTCATACCCGTAAACTTCTTAGTCTCATCTGCCCACCTAACTGTCTGTCTCCCTTTAATCCGCTTGCCTTCTCTGGGAATCCAGTTAGTTACCCTTAAGTGGGGACGTGGCAAGTAAAACTAATGTTTTTATTAATGTACTGTTTGTGATGAAATTTGGTGTGTGTATGTGGATGATTGTAAGGATTCCAAATATGAAAACAGTTTTCAAATACCTCTTGCACTTTTTGAGTTACAAGCATAATTATACTATTAATGCTCTTCACACTTAAAGAGATAATTATTGCTAAATGAAATTTTTTTTTCATATTATTATGTTCCCAAAGCATCAACTTGTGCAAAGAAGCTATTAGTTGATTTTTCTAGTTCTTCTAACCATAAATAAAATTTCCAAAACATGGATGTTGTTTTGCGCACACATCGCAGTAATTATAAAATGTGTTCTAAAAATTTTAAATGATAGGGTAAGAAGGGAGATAAAGCTTTATTGCACTGCTAAAGGCCTCCTGAGCCTAGTGCAAAAAACGGAAAGACTCTACCAGTCTTTGTTAGAAAATGACAGATGTTCTAGCGAAGGCACATAGGCGAAAATCAAGAGTTGAGAAAACTGACTTTGAAAGTTGACTCTTGTTTGGAAGTTCACAACATGCCTAAAACACTCAGAATCCCCCTGGGCAGTAATCCTGAGATGCTGTGGCCTTGGCCTCTGTAGAGCGCAACCCAGTTTTGCGCTTCTTTGTCGTGGAACAATGCGCCTTTTGAGCCCTCTTTACCCTTTTGGCATCCTTTTCGGCTGCTCGCCGCAAAGAGCAGTCTCCTGGATTGAAGCCCAGTTGAGCTGTGATCTCTTGCAGCGCACTCTTGCAGCCACCATTGAAACGGCAGACTGCATCTGCAACTGCACTTTCCACACTCCGAAGGGAGGCGAACTGGCTCTTGGACTGGAGTGACCAAATGACGCTGTTCATACTCTCCACAGCGTTCTGGGTTTTTCCCTGTGCACACCTTTCAAGGAGCTCTTTGTTCGAGAGGCACTTGTAGATTGGCAGCAGTGCCACTCACACGTGAGGGGGCAGTTTATGTTCGTGAGGCGGCAGCGGCTCTCCCTTGGCCAATGCCTGATTGTGCGGGCACCAGGAGTCGGTCCCATTTGGGCACAGGTCGTGGTGTGGATCCTTGTTTGTGGTTGTTACATGGTAATAAGTGGCCATGATGGCCCTCTCCATGCCAGGAACATCGTTGGGGTGGCTCTTAGTGACCCAGCCATAATACGTTAACTTCTTTATCAGGCCCTGCGTCAGCCGGCCTTTGCCACCCATGCTCAGTCCTCGGCTTTTGGATTTGTGCTCATCAAGAAGGTTGCGCAAGGAAGTGCCCATTCTTTTTTTCACATGGTTCATACACTCCTGTTTCTTGATCACCATGTAGCCATACACCTTGTCTTGCGTGAGGGCAAGGTACGTATGGCTGTCACTGTCGCAGAGCACATTGATGTATCGAAGCTTGTACTTGGTAAACGATCTTTCAAACATGATCCTAGCTGCTTCTACTTCCATTTGGCCTGCATTAGCATCGGTGTTCTTTT